GGGGGTACCAATAAGCATGACTTCAGTCTTGTCACAGTTAAGATGAAGGAAGTTTTAAGTCATCTAAATTTTTATGTCAGAGATGCAATTAGATAGAATAGAGACAGCCACATCAGTGTCGGGTTTAGTATGGATGTATATTTGAGTATCATCAGCGTAAAAATGAAAGCTGAGGCCATGTGATCTTAAAAGCTGACCAAGTGATTTGAAATATTAAATCGTGTTGATCGAATCAAGCAGTGTTAATAGCCGAGGAACATGAGCATACAGAAAAACAGCACTTGACCTGTTTGGGTTGAGGGTGACTTGGGCTACATCATAGACTTACAAAAAGTATAGCTTTCAGTTCCCACAGCTCTGATGGCATACAGTATGTTTATAAATATTCAGTGTTTGTTAATGCATTTTATTGATTTTTATATGTTCTGTAAACAGTATTTTATTTACATGCAAGTGGATATACTGGATTCAAACATTTTTTTCCACCCCTTCTCTTAGACGGTTGTTGTGCAGTCATATTAAATAAGACCTAACTAACCAGTTTCCTTGAGCATAATACAAATACATTCTCTGAAGAATAGTAAAACTCCATGCTGAGTATATCACTCCTTTAGGTGCTAGAGTTGTCAAAACTTTTTTTAAACCTTTGCCGTTTCTTCTTCTAAAGTTTCATTTTATATTTTTTTCTTGATTTTATGATTTTTAATAGCCACGCATTTGTACCATTTAACAAGATTTTTTTTGTTTTCATTGTGTAGTTATGGATGGTTAGTCTTTTATCAGAACTTGTTTTTAGTTTGCTGAGAAAGTAAGTTATTTAGCATACTAAAAAGTTTTTCTATGTATTTTTAAAATATGAAAAAGAACCACAGACATCTCTGTGAGCACTTGAGTGACAGTTGGTGACAGTTAATTTTGGGAGTCTCCCTGTATCTTTCCATTACAACACTTTACACTTCCAAAATAATTTGCCTAATTCACAATCTTTCTGCAAGACTTGAAATAGTTAAAAGGATAACCACACATTAAAAAATATTATGTTCCATTTTAATATAATTAATGACAGATTTGCTACTCAACTGGGATCACAGCGGTGTTATGAGTAGAGACCTAGAGAGACGTCACAAGATAATATCAAACTTTGATTTAAAGTTTTATAGTTAAGATAATATGGGGATAAATGGGTGCTTCAGGGTTTGAAATTTAGACTTTCTCCATCCAGAATAGAAACTATTTCTGGTCACATGCACCTGTTTTATCATTTGTTTCAAGGATAATAACATTTTAAAGAGTATTTGACATCTTTCCCATATAGATTTTAACACTTCATTGTCTGAAGTACATTTATTTTAGTATATCATGTAATTGTAACAATGTGCTGTTTGTGCAGTTTAGAAGCTGCAGTATTTTTTAACTTGTGTTTTGAATCCTGTTTCAGATATGAATAGTCTGATTCAGTGAAATGACGAATGACGGCAAGAAGGCTATTCATATCCTCTGTCTTTTACATTTGCTTGAATTATAGTGAAAATGAGAACTTGTCTTCTTGGGCCAGTCAGTACTGGAGACTCATTAAAATGTCAAATTCAATTGGATAAGTAAATCTGGCGACATACATCTCCACTTTGAGAACCCAGATTTCAGTAAAAGTAATCAGCCCATACTTCATGTGTGTGGAAAGCATATTCCCAGGGGTGCACTTTTTGGTTTAATGACACATTCAAAATACAGCACAATAGTGTATTTTACCCATAATTATAATGGTACAAGACAGAAAGAAAAATGAGTGACACTCCACGTACGATTTTGTATTGTCTCCACATTTGCGTTATTTTGTGCCGGCAAACCCTGACCGTGGCAGTAGAATTGTGATCTTTCTCCTTTTGATTTTGCCTGAATTGAAACCAAATTCTGTGTGTATACCTAAACAAGGCAGAAAAGAGTCCAGTGTGTGGCTAGCCCACAGCTCACACAGGGTATTGATTTAGTATTGTAGGTGGCGGTGGGGAAAGTGAGAAGGAGTGTTCAGTGTTGTATGCGAAGGGGGGGGAGGGGAGGGCCCTGAGTTTGTGCAGATGTTTCATTGTGATAGATCTATTATCCAGCTATTACAAGATAAATGAGTGATCTTTCCTATTTTCCATGCCTGTAGAAAATTGAAATAAGAAGGGGGAATATCATTTGGGCTGTATGATTAGGGTAGGTGGGTTGGCCATTAATTTAAAAGAAGGGGACGTTGGCAGAGTGGGCCAACTTACACTATCTTATCAATCAAGCCTCAGCAGTCTTCTAGTGATGACCCAGCACTCTCAGGTTTTCGTGGCATTAATTAGAATTCATGACAAAATAGATGCAAGGAAACGTTTTGTACCCTTCATAATTTTATAGGAAATTTATTGTTATTAGAGGACCCATTTGCTTAGTGTGATTTTTCCATTACCAGCTTGTCAACTAGCATAGATAATCTAGAGAAAATATGAACTCCATAGATGGGGTGTCAGTTTTGTTGATGGTGCATGTAGTTTACCTTGGAGCACAGCTAATGGCTGAAGTTCATAGCAACAGCACAGCAAAGCTTTGGCAACCGCAGGGAGACGAATGATTCCTGCTTATTGCTTTAATGTGGAAAAATCCATAAATGGAAAATAAAATCTAAATATTACAAGCTCGCTACAGGGACAATTGTGATGATTCTGTTCAGGAATCAAAAGCTTGATTCTATGCAGTCATGTGTGACCGGTTAAAAAAGAATTGGCGCCCTGCCCAAAGAATATTGTGATTCATGAAATGGAATAGTAATAAAGCTTGCTCAAAGGACATAGCCATTTATAGTTTAATGGTAGTTTTGAACTATTATTGTTTTGTAAAAATTGGAGACTTATCTTCAAAAGATAAGCAGTAAATGTTACTTTTTTATTCTAACCTTAAGCAACCACTGAAGACCAACACTTTTGTGAACTAGCCTGATAACCATTTTAAAAGCTTCAGGCTTCATAGCTTGTGTTACATTGAACATTATGTGAACCGGTTTTTGCTGTGTTTTAAGGTTTCCAACAGATAGGTTGTGTTACTTGACAGGTTTTATGAGGGTATTTACTCACCTCATATTATTGCTGTATTTTTGTATACACTTTAAAATCAGTTACCATCCCACTTATATCTTATTTTACATTTCTCTAGCAAGCTTTTTTCATGAGCATCCTATTGTATTTGTTCCTGAATTAAAAAAAACTTATCTAAATGGCTGGGGTGTAGCTTTGCTTTCTGACGTTCTGTGTAAAGTGCTAAGCTTATGCAGTCGATTTCTGGCTAAAGGTTGGAAGTGCTTTGGAAAGTTTTTTTTTTTTTTTTTTTTAGTTGTACTTGTTGTGCTGTCATTGTTTATTCCAAAATTGCAGGATTTGTGAATGATTAGTGGTCTTGCTGGGCCCAGCAGGTACCAGAAGACCAACAGGACTGGAGTCAATAAATGCAAGCTCACGTTTATGCTGATAGGTAATGCATAAAATCCCCATACGGCTAGAAGCTAGTCTATTATAATAAGGAAACTATATTCCAGGCTTCTTCCTTCTAAGTGTAATGTGTGTTGCATATTAATAAACCTAATGTCAGTCAGTGCCCATAAAATAACCAAAAATGCAAACTTCATAGCATTTGAACATTTTCCTAAATTGTCATTCTTGCAAAGGGAGTTTTTTTTCCAGTAAATCAGTCCTTCTGTCGCTTGAGGCTTAAAAGCAGGTCTGAAGTAACATTAAAAACCGAGCATGGAAAAAGCAAATGTTCAATGTCCATTATTACAATGACATTAGTATGTAAAATAGTGTTGTCTTGGTATTTAACTTTCAGATAAGATTGGTGAAGTACCAGTAAATTATACCTCCAAAAAGAGGTGATTATGCAGTCAGAATAATTAGGCTATATGATTAAAGGTAATTATGGTATTTATGATTTGTATTTTCCTGTTACTTTATGGACCTTGCCTTCTGCTAATGAGGTTAAAGAAAGAAGCCAGTTTGTTTTTCTTCACATCCCTTTCTTGCGCAAACTGTAAATGGTAATTTAATCAATTATACCCTGACAGTACATTTAATCTTACGCCTTTAAAAATGGAAAAGGCATCTTTTAAAAAGTAATTTAGTAGTACGAAGTCTTTTTACACTGAAACTGAATGTATTTAGATTTTCAGGTATTAATACTGATACAGAGTGACTGGTACTGTAAGTACTTTAAACTTTGAAAAATGTGATTTCTTTCATGTCTCTAGTTCACATCTTTAATTTATACATTTCTAAGAAAGTGATCATTGTGCTGTCGATAACAAGAGTATACAGTACTTAGTATATCTGAGTGAGTAAGAATTTTCGTGAGGAAGTAATGATAAGTCAATTATGTTTAATTCAAGCATCCACCACCCATCATTAGAACATAAAGTCTTTACCTTTTTCCATTCAAATATACCTGCATTCTCATTATCATGATTTGTGACTCCATGAAATCACTTGATCATTCAGAGTGTTCAGAAGAGTAACGTATGACAAGGCAAAGGAACAAATGACAACCAGTTGTGAAATCAAACTTATATTGACTAAGTGGATTAGTCATATGAAAGCTATTAATAAAATGTTAGTCGATTTTTAGTCGTCTTCACGTAGATCACGTAGTTAAATGCATAAATATCTAAAAGAAACGTTTTTTTTTACATGCCTCACTGGAGTCTTAACATGGTTGTTGAAAGCCATTTCAAAATATACTGTATTCAAATAGCTATGAGAGCCACTGTGCATTTTTTTGTAAACAATCTTTATATGCATTTTCATTTTTTTAATAAGCTGGTCGCTGGAAGTGTTGTGATGGCTTTTGAAGAAGTGTGTCCCGATCGAATCGATCTGATTCACAAGAACTTCCGTAAGCTCTGCAACCTCCTAGTGGATGTGGAAGAGTGGGGCCAGGTTGTCATCATCAACGTGTTGACCAGATACGCCCGCACACAGTTCCTTAGTCCCTGGAAGGAGGTGAGTCTTTTATTCCTTTAAATGTACCTAATTGTGATAATGCCTTGTACCAAAATGCAGGGAGTATTAGACATAATAAGCAAAGTTACCACATTAGTCTGCAATTAGGGTAGTGAGGAATCATAGTGACACAGATGACTGGAAACGATGGCGATGAATACAGGATTGGTGGATACAGACTGTGCCAAAAAAACAGGAAAGATAGAAGAGGGACATATCAGAAAGAGGTTTCAGGTTCAGGAACTAAACCTAGAGGAATCAAGAGCCTCAGAACAGCACAAACCTTCTAAAGGTACATTATTGTGTGTGTTATAGATTATTAAATGCATATGCTAATTATATTTTTAATATTTATGGTAATTATGATGCTTTGCATTATGTATACTGTAATTTAAATGTATGTGCTTAGAAGTGGTGTTTATGGGAGACATCAGTTTCTTCGCAAGGACAGGGAAGGATCTGTAGGAATGTCAGAAGCAAGTTCAAAATGTCTGAAAAAAACTGGTTTTCCTACTTAATATCAGATCTAGATCTAGATTTTGACCTAGATTCTGGAATAGTTAGTATACTGGTCAAGTTTGCAGACGTTGCCGAAATAGGATAAGGAAATACTGTAAAGGCAGCAAATTAAATGTAAAACTCAAGACAGGAAAACATAAGGAAGATTACTTTCATTGCAGGCAAGCAAACCAGCTAGTTAAAACATGCTTAATACAGAATGGAAACATCTGATCTTAAAGAGGCTACATATGAAAAAGTCAAAACATTTTTCATGTGTTGATACATTATTATATTGTCTACACAGTGTAGAGAAGCAATACAAAAAGCAAGCAAAATTTAAATCAAGGGAACTTAAATGTTAAAATTGTATAATGTACTTCATGTACAAGACCTCATGTACAATTTTGTATATAATTGTCACCATGTTATTAAAAATCCTATTGGTGCCCTTGTATTAGTCTAGAGAACAGCAACCAGATACATTACAGATCTTAATGGAATGAGTTATCATCATCATTTTATGTCTTAAACAAGGAAGACTAAAAGAGGATCTAATCTAGAGCTTCAAAATCCTCAGTCATTGACAGTCAGCCTAATGATCTTAAGAATAAACAGGTAAATATGAACCAGCCAACATTAGTGGAAACTATGTAGAAGTGCTTTTAAAACAGAGAACAGGAGATACTTCCTTTATGCAAAGGGTGTAGAAATATGATAGTCACTACCCAGAAGCCGATACCCTGGTATCTTTCATGAAATGGCTGGATGATACCCTTGAATCAATTAGCTCTTGTTTGTCTTATGTTTCATGTGCACCTGTGAGGTTGAAGAATTCTTTTCACTACGTAAGAGATGTGATAAGAATAGAGATGTGATAGGGTTTTGCAATACAAAATGACAAAGATGTTTGAATTTTGTGTATTTCTCTGCTTTAATAATCAGGTTGAAATTGAGTTACCTCCTCATCGGCACCTAAACTTTTCCTCAGAATATTTCAGGAATTATAGTATTGACCTGTTACTGGTATTGTTAGGTGTCTTTCTGTGCCTTTAGGTGGTCATTTCTGCGTATGTTTTTGATAGCAGAGATTGTAGATGAATGTACAACAGGTTTTATTTTATATACAATGCCTGATTTGTAGCTCTGCAAGACTTTGTACTCTTTCAATGTTTTTTTTCAACCTGAATCCATTTGTATTTTCGGAATATTTTTTTTATTTTAAACCTGTTTGCTCTTTTTCTTTGTAAAGCCACCCAGGGATATTCACAGGTAAGAGAGAATAAAAAGTGCTGTGAAAACCTAAAATAAGCCAGGTGATACTGGTTAGGTCTGGTGCTGGTGCTTTAGTGATTTTTGTTTTTTGTAAAGTGAGATTTCTTTCTGCAAGGCTGTTACTGGCAGCTGGAGGTGAGATATTTCAGAGCCATTTTTGTCAATTTAACTAAAGTGAATCCTGACCTTGAAAACAACAGCAAAGTATAAAAAAAATCTCAGGAGAGTTAATGTTAATTTTGTTTTGACAGCATTTTCCAGAGTATGAATTACTTAGATATTGAAGTTCAGACTTGGGTTCATTTTGATAATAGCATCTGCTGCTAACAGGTTTTTTTTTTTATTTTAGCAGCTTTTAAGATGCCCAGTAAAATGAGGGTTAATAACGGATGTGCCACCAAGTGCATACAGCAATTTCTCCTAAGTAGTGACATGGTTTTTGAACTTTCCTGCATTAACTTAAGATGGATATTTTATTCTAAAAATAGAACACAGTATTAATACTAGAAGACTGTGATTGCTATGTAAACCTTAACAATTGTGTTCTTACCGTGATAAAAAATATATGTAACTAGACAGTTTTGATTAAATTAACCTTTCTTTTAAGGTTCCTTAATTAAAGATTCCTTGAGCTTCAGACTTGCATAACTCTAGCTCTACTTTTTAAAAAATGTAACTTGAAAAGTAAGTTTATTAGGATTTGAAAACTGAATTCTATGTGATCCTTTTGCTTTGGTAGCCCTTATCTGCAAAGTTTCATATATTTCATTTGTTAGGTTTTGAAAAAAAGTGCCAACCCAAAAAGATATGATAGTCAATGAAAGTGCTGGTCCAGTATCAATCATGTTGATGGTGTGTTTGTGTATTGGGGGGGCAAAACCTAATATTGTCTTTGTCTTGCACTTCAAATCTGTCTTCTCGCTGCCTTCTACAAACACTGCATCTCTATGTGGTTTCAGTTTCAGATGAAGAACAGTTAATGTTGTTCTTGTCTCAGGCCAGACCCTTCCCTTGACTATTAGTGAATCTTACTGAGATATAACAATATTACAAAATAAAGATATGATACACAGTTATACAACTTAATTGAATTCCTGATTATTTAATGTAGATAAAACAACTGTGTTCCAATTTCTTCATGTAAAATAGAATAAAATACCAGTGCCTTGCCTTGAATTTAATAAGGCACCCAGGCACTTTTGAGTCTAATTAGCTCTGGTGTTTCTGAAATTACCTCATGATATTTGTCTGTGGCAAGTTACTGTAAAACATAACTTATCTGATACTTTAGAAAAATAGCATTGTTGTAGTCATATTATTATTTTGCTGAGAAGCATTTTTCAAGAAACTCTTAAGCTCTGTACACAGTTACACATGTAATACACAACAGAAGCACTAGGAATGTGGAGAAAAAAGCACTGCCACTAGGACTGTAACGTTATACACTTCAGTGAAGAGAATCTCAAAGTTGAATGGATTTCGTCAGTGAGTTTCATGAACCAGGAGCTGCAGAAAAGAAGGGCCTGTTGCTCAATGTGTGGAGCCTAGTTTTTTGCAGCGTAAGAATCACTGAATCATCAGTTCTCAGATTATGTGCTAGGCCCTGCACAGGTAGTTAGTCTTTAAAATAATCTTGTGCTGGAATATTCAGCATCTTATAAATGAACTGGAGAGCCCAGTGCAGTTTACAGAGGAAAGGCTGCAGCCTTCTGGACATACCGAAGATTATTATCTTAGAATATACCTCAGTAACTAAGGTGATACAGTAGTCTTATCTTGACCAAATAAAGGTAGGTCAGTATTTCACTGTCACCGTCTTGACTAATCAGTGTTACACACGTGAAAGATACCCATCATGTTCCGTACTGTTTAGATCAGTGGTTCTCAAACTTTTTGGACCAAGTACCACCCCTGATCAAACCAAGCCATCCAAGTACCACTTACAAGTCATCTTCTTAGAAAATCTCAATGACCAACATGAGCGCATGTGCGTGCACACACTCACATACATATATAATATAGTAATAATAATAAACTTTATTTGATATATGGCCTTTAATGGTGGCTTCTCAATGCGCTTTACAGAATGACAACACGAACAACAATTAAAAATAAGCAATAAAAGCACCATTTCAGTGAGAGGAGTGAGCCTGTTTAGTCGAGCAAAGCAGATGTGAATTCATTGGTTGAGCCTTGATACAAATCACAACAGAGTCTAACAGATTTGAAATCCTCAGTCATTTACTTGACAGCCAAGGCCTCGCGGTGGATACTGCAGTGCGTCCACTTCATATCTGGAGCAACCTCTCTGATTCGTGCAACTACACCGCTGTCGGCTTGTCATCACACTAGCACTGTCTGTACAAACTCCAACGCATTTTACCAGTCGATGCCATTCTCGTCGATAAATTCATTCAGAAGCTGAAATGTGTGCTCACCTGTAATTCTTGTTGGTAGCGGCTTACAGAGCAGAAAGTCCACATGGGGCATACCTTGTGTCTAACATAAACGAGCAAACTGGGCAAATCAACAACATCTACAGACTCATCTAATTTCATTGAAAAGCATCTGCTCGTCTTAACGTGCTCTATCAGCATACTTTTGACATCATCCGCCATTATCAATAATTCTATGAGTGGCTGTATCTTTCGGAGGGGGCAGCAGGTTGATCTGTTTAGCAGCTTTTTCTCCACACATAATACGTGTCAGTTCTTTTGCCAACGGTAAACAGTTCTTCGCAAATAGTGTGGGGCTTACCTGCTTTAGCAAACCGCAAGCTTGCATTTTCTCCCGTTTCTGTTTCAGGAGTCCGTATCAGAAGTTAAAGGTTTTTATTTCATGCCCATGGGAGCGAAACACAGAGACGCTCGGTGTATTTTTCTCAAATTAACCTAGAACAATCCTTAAATATTTTTCTATCACTCTTTCCTGTGCTCACAAGATTGCCTTTGTTCCAAAATCACGCAAATTCTCCTACCTCCCTATTTGCTGGAGATAACGTGTTTTGAATACAATTTTCCGCTTTCGTTCGTAGCACGCATTCTTATACAATGGTGTAGAATTACATACTGTAGTAGCGCACTGTATCGTAGTACGTAGGCTGTGTATTTGACACAAACTAATTTTTTTAAACTAGAAAATATGAAAACCCGTCCCAATTTTTCAGTGCACACAACAAATTTCCAGGGTCATCTGGCATACCATCTGGGGGCGCTCCGTGTACCACA